AAGTTTAATAAAGTACTTAAAAAGAAAAGAAAAAGAGGGAAATGGCTTTCCTCGACTAAGAGGCTCTGAAGTTCCCAACCTACCCAAGCAGCAGTCTAGGAAATCCAAAATGATCCAAATTGGAAACAGACTCAACTAGCTCTTCCTGAGTCCGAGTATCATTGCCTGAGCAGTAGCCTTATCCACAGGTGGCTAAAGCGGGTAAAACACAGTCGAGAAACACAGGGTTCTTTATGTGGGGACCTTGATTTGGCCTCTTCCTCCAGGGCAGTATGCTGAGAGTGGATTACTTTATATCATGGAGACAAGTACCGTGCCACCCGACCCCTGATAAACCAGGAGGACGGCCCTAAAGTGACTGAGGACGCGGGTTCAGAAATACAACAGTATAGTCTGATGGATCCCTTTATATTGGATGTTTTCTTGCCCTAGCAAATGCTGTCACATACCCACTGTACCCTCTTACCCTCTGTGCAAACAGTACTCTGAGAGTAACCGGTAGCCCCCGGGTTTGAACTAAGTGCCCCCTCCATTCACTGGACATATCTCCAATTGTAACCATCTTGTTGTTCACATGCAGGATCCCTCAACCCGGCTGTGATGCAGGATGCGCCTTATTCATCATTGTCTCCTCAGTGCCTAGGGTATAATAGGCTCTCGATAAATGTTTGGTGGATGAATAAACGAAAGAATGAATGAGTGACTGTTCCAAACCTGCAAAGGGGTTCAGGAAATGTAACTATGCAGTGTAGTTTATACAGACTGAATGCACAGCTCTTTAAAAACTCAACTTCCTCTGTTCTCTTCCTCTTTCATCAACCTGGCCCAGATGTGGACTTTCCCAAAAGGAAAGAAACAAAGCGGGTTCTGAGTAGTTTCATTTTGCAACTGTAGTTAAATGTACTCTGTCGCTGGCACCACCCATCAGCTAGGTTTATGTGAAGTTCTTAGTATAGGTCATGCTGTTCTAGATGTGGCATTGTGATGCTATGATTTAGAATAAGAAATATATAGTTTGTTCTTCACTCATTTCTGGCACAGAGCTCCTAAAACCTTGCAATTCCCTAAGTGATGAGAGTGAAAGGTGTCTTTATTCATTACAAGCTTCTTTCAAACCACAACCTGAGTTTGCGTTAATGAGATGACTTTGGGGAAGTTCCTCAGGATGGGGCTGGTTGGCAGGGGAACTAACCAGTATTGGAGGGTTGGAATTTTCAGCACCCCCACTCCTACCCTCACCCAAAAGGTCAGGGTTCAGAAAGCTTCTGGGCTGGTAAACACATGGAGGGTGCTGGAAGAGCGCTGCACCCAGAGAAGGCATGGAAGCCATGTGCCCTTCCCACACCTTGCCCCATGCATCTCTTCCATGTGGCTGTTCCTGAGTTGTATACATTTATAATAAACTGGTAATCTAGTAAGTAAGCTGGTTTCCTGAGTTCTGTGAGCCAATCTAGTAAATTAATCAAACCTAAAAAGGGGGTCTTGGGAACCTCTGATTTCTAGCCGGTAGATAAAAGCACAGGTAACAAGGGGAATGCAGTCTGGTGAGACTGAGCCCTTAACCTGTGGGGTCCGATGCTGTCTCCAGGTGTTATCAGAACTGAGTTGAGCCGTAGTTCACCTAGCTGGTATTGCAGAATTTCCTGGTGTGAGAAAAACTCCACATATTTGCTGACCAGCATATGAAAGCATGCAGAGTAAAGTGTAAAGAAAAATAGTAAGTGTTTTTTTCTTTACAAGCATCACACACAAAATCCTATAATGATGCTGTCTGGGACATTTGTGTAGGCTGAATCATTGCCAAAGCTTTTTTTTCCCACATAATCATATCTGACCCTCAAACAGTCATGTCACATTGTCCAGGGACAAATGATTATCACCATTTTGCCAAAGGGGAAACAGAGGCTCAGAGGTGGCTGCCCAAGATGAAGCAGATATGAGGCTCAAAGCTGAACTTTAGACTTCAAGTTCAAGAGTTTCTTCCACAGAATCTCACTGCTCAGAGCCTGGTTGAAAAGATAAGACAGGTATCACTTTAGAGGAAGGAACCAGAGGGCATCATGCTATGGGCTGGAGCAGAAAGGGAAGCCTCAGGAGGAGAGGAGTTTGAGCTGGACAAGTGGAAAGGAGAGGCCATTCCAGGCAGAGGGAAGGCAGGAGAGAAAGGAGGAAGCGAGACTTCTCAGGGCCTCTGAGAGACGCACTGTGGAAGTCAGGTGATAGGGACAGTGGCATATAACACTATTCGCATCTGGAAGTAGAGAAGCTCTTCCATCTGTGAACGTGTGATGTATGAACTTTCATACAAAAACAAAGCTGAACTCTGGAGGCAAAGTGCTCTTGACCAGCACTTGGTATTAGCAGTCGTTTGCCCTCTGACAGATTGCTGGGGCACATGGCCATGCTCCGATCCTTGTAAGGATTTACTGAGATTGTTGAGGAGCATTCTTACAATGGAAATAAAAGTAAAGACAAAATAAAAGAGATGAAAAGTGATAAGAAATTAATAATATTGTACATTCTAATGATTGAGTCCTTCGACAACAGGAATGATTTTCAAAAATCAAAGAAAATTCTGCCACACATGAAGAATGCTATAACTGTAAGATATGAGGAAAAAGGACAAATGATATGGAAAGACTTTGAGTAGGTACCTTGAAGATCAACATGAACTCCGAATACACATTAGACTAATGTAATTAGAAGTAGGCTGGGAGTTATTTATTTGATCATTCCATAAACATTTGTTGAGCATCTACTAGAACCAAGAACTAACTGTTCAAGATAATGGGGATAGAGCGGAAAACAAAATAAAGTCTCTGCCCTCTTAGAGCTTTTTGTTAGTAAGGAGAGGTGGATGACAAACAATATGTTTATCGGGTGCTGCTAAGTGTTATGGAGAAAAATAAATCAGGAAAACTGGGTTAGAGACAAATGCTGTGGGCAGGGCAAAGGGATGTTGGTATTTACATTCAGTGCTCAGGAAGACCTCTCAGATAAGATGGCTTTGATCCGAGACCTAAGAGATTCTTTGAGGTTTAAACATGGTGAAAAATGCTACCAATGAACTTCTCTATTTTAACTACTTAATTTTGATTAATTTAAAGACTTTTATTTACTTAATGTGAGGCTAGTGGATTTATGCTGCAAGACAGAGAGTTCAGTAGGTTCAAGGCTGCTGTGAACACTGTCACACTGAAGAGACCTGCAAGCCAGTCATGTGGCTGCCATAGCTGCTGGAGTTTTCTCAGGCACTCACACAGGTTCTCAAGGAGCAAGGTTTCCTGCTTGTTTTGCTTCTGCTTCATCCAACTAACTGCCAGTAGAGCAGAAACAAGTTTACCTTGGCAAAAGAAGTATGATAGTACAGCCATCACAAATAGATGATGAGAGCATTTGATTTTAAAGTTTAAAACAAACTCAAATTTCTATTAGGTAGAAATGATCTGGGAAAAACAAATGGAAACACTCTTTGGTAACTTTGGTCTTCAAAATCTACCTTGTTGATGAGTGGTAAATGTTGGAAATTCATTTCCTTCTAATTTAGTCCTTCAGAGAAAACAGAGCCATCTGCTTTGCCTTACAGAGGCTGC